TTGGCATCTGGTGGTAGTACACAGACATTAGCTTCAGAGTATTCTTCCTCGCACTGTTCAAGAAGCTGTTCCACTTTCTCCAGGGTAGTACAATTTCTTGTCATGTTTCACTACGAAAATAATTAGGGTACTGTAGAGCATTACATATTCACGCTATCCTCCCAATATCTTATTTGCAGAACAGTGGAAAATGACTCAACCTGACGTTTGAGTTCCTTTGATTGGTCTGACACTCAGCAATACAGTCAGGTAGATAGTTTACGTACATTGCGTCAGTCTCTCTGAATCTGCACTCAAACGCAACTCGTTTAAACTTGCTGTAACCTGTAGGGAACGTCAGAAATTGCCTTCATTGTCACAAAACACAACCTGCCGCCCACACGCCATATGGCACATGGCTGCTTCTACTGGAGTATTAAGTCGCATAACTTAAGGTCAACTCCGAATGTGGGCCGGATCACGTGATTGCTTCGGTACGGCAGGTATAGGCCTTTATGTAGTCCCATGCTGAGGCTGATGTTGCATTCATGATGCTACTTCGCCGCAATTGGGCTAGACCAACTTACACTTAAACTAGGTCTCTTTTTAAGCTGGATAAATTTCATTCCACTTCATTTGATTTGTTCTGCCTACCGGAATACTCTTCTATTAACTTGCACTCGTTGCTTACGCTAATTTAGCTTATGTTCGTTAACTTTATTACGTTTGTAGCATCTTTTGAGTAACTTGTGTACAATGTGTGCTTATCACGGATGCCTTCCTAACCAACTTACTTCATTTGCTAATTTGGCGGAGAGTTATGTCGACATAGCCGCATGCTTTAACATATACATTTTATTAGATAGCCTTTTCAAGTGATTGGCTATTGTTTGACATCCCTGGTGTGCTTGCGCTTGATGTGCATGTTGACAAGGTGCTTAATTGTCTGTTACTCACTACCTCGTCCATACTGGCTCCAGGAGACAGTTGCTTGTTGCTGGAGGGGACGGGGTGCACGCTTCTCGTGGCCATGCTGCACTCAAAGAGTGGTTCCATGCATTCAGTGTGGAGTGGACCACGGTCCAGCCACCGCCTTGTGTGCACTTGGTTCCCACATACAACCTGCATGTTTTTGCCTGCGAAGGAGTGTGGGTCGGCTCCGTTGATGAAGCGTGACTGGAATCCACATGCCTCCCGGTCTTATTCCTTCGGGTTTACACTGGATCTGTGGTGTGTGGTTGGAGCTGTGAGTGGTGCAGCGCAAGCCACCCATTGTCCCTCTGTATGCGCAGGCGTGCTGTGGCTGTCCTATGGAGACCACGGGGACAAGCACATCTGGAACCGGATGCTGCCAACCATCTTACGCCTCTGTGATCACGACCAACCGCAGATGGGAGCTAGCAGGTTCGCACCAATTTGACGAGGGGCTGTGTGGCTTCAAGCGGGCGGTAGCAAACCAATGAGCACCGTGCGTGGCCTTCCCGCTGTTAGCAACAATGATTGGCGTTTGTGCTGTATGCTAATCGAGCTGTGAGCCTATTCGCCTTAAGTTTATTGTCTCCCATGGCTAGGTTTTAAGGGTAGGAGGTAATCGACATCTTCGTAATCTCTGGAAAGGATTGTGTGGTGGAATTAATTTGACCGCTAGCCATTAACCAGTATGGCAGGAGTGGCTCTGAAAGCACTTAGAAAGTGCCACCCAGCATAGCTCATTGAGTCACAGAGGTACGCAAGCCATCGTACCATGTTAAGGTCCAATCTCGTAAATATCTTTGACTTCTACAGTATGTCGGTGTCTGCAACTGATGGCACTGGGATGAAATCACTCAACGAGCTTACGTTTAGCCTTTTGAATTCCACGCAAAAACACTACTCCCAGTTGGTCTTATTCACCAAAACCACTTGGGAGTTATATAGGCTGTGAGTCTCCTTTAGTAAACCAGCATCCAACATCTCTTACACATGTCTTCTGACCTCAGCCTCCAGGTGAATTCGTATTCTACTGTATCTATGAGGCCGATGCGGCTGACGCGATATAGAAATAGCGTGTTCGACCCTATCACAAAACCCATAAAGGCCACTATCATCCGTGAAATGAAGGTGGTACTTGCCGACAAACAATTTCAGGGCCGGAGTTGTGTATAAAACGGCAGCGATCGAGCACGCTCGAGTGGATTCCTTTCTACCAGTAAGTGGTATAGGCCGGTATCTTTTCGTCAGGTTTCCTCGTCTCAGGTCGGCGATTGCCCCATTGGTTTGGAGAATGTCTGCTTTTAGGATAGCCTGTTTTGCGTCCTTCGGCAAGACATAGAGATGTTTGAATTTTCGACTGCTTATACCAATCAACTGTTCCCCCATACTGTTTATGCGCATATCGTAACCACCGATCTGCTTCACGACGATACGACTGTTTTCACTCCATCTCTGTGATTGATTGAGGAAACCGCAGCTCCCTTGCCAGTCAAACACATCTCCGTTTCTCCATTGACCTCTACCACGGCTTTAATCACTTCTATGTTCAGCACCAGAGAACAATACGGTTTATGAGTTTTATTTGGTACGAAGTGCACTTTGATGGACATTGTCTCTTCCGGTTTTCCAGCTTCTCACAAAATAATCATCCTACATTTGGCCGGGGCATTCGAACCTCCGTGATATCTTGCGTACTCTGCTCCAGCCTCCCTCTAGCCTATCCAACCGCTTTCTGTCTTTTTGGTCTTCCTTTCGCAATGCCGCGACCGTCTTATGTACAAACCCCCTTGCTAGTCGAGCGAGCTCCGCGATGTCCGTTTTCTGGGTGTCGTTCACAATCCGTCATCGTCGGACGTAGTTAGTCCAGCAATTGCTCCACCAATGGGCTCTGTACTTACGCGTCGTCCAATTCAGGCAGCACCTGACCCAGCAAGTTGCTTAGGTGGACCGCTAGGACAAACGGATCCACCTCACTAAGCCGGGTCGCTTTGAAACGCTGCATTGCATTCTGGCAGTCAGTCTGTCGAGCCCCGCGATCAGCGCCTGCTTCGTGGTTGCCCATTTACGAGCCCCTTTGCACTCCCCTTGAGGAGATTCCGCGGAACAAACAGATTCGCCTACTCTTGCCTCACTCCGACTGCTTCCGCTGCGTCTTCCAAGTCTTTCTGGAACTTCCGTACCTCCCCTTCCTCGAATGGCTTCTGTCAAGGGCCATTCACAGCACCAAATGAGAACGCAACGCGGTGCAGAAGAGCAATCATTGGTGAACGCACGGCTAAATGGCATAATAGCTCGTACGTAGCGCACTTGGGCCCATTTGCGCACTTCATTCGTGGTGCAGTTTTGACTCCCCGTTGCCATGCATGCCTTCATCCACAACGTATCGGTAGTGGTTACTTCGTGCATTATGCTCCCTTCTGCCGTAGTGATCTATAATTTCTCTGACTTCATCACCCCTGCTTATTTTCCCCATACTACTCATTCGTATGTACCACGGGCTACTAGTGATTTTCACTTCATGGTTTCTGCTGTGGTGCGCATCAATTTTATCACTCACGTGTCATGGATTGGTGTCTTTCTTCGTTACTTTTGTAGGTGGTCAATAACAACAAGCGCATACCCACTTAGCTGTTTCATATCACCTCAGATGTGAATCGCGAACGATTTCCTGACACATTTGAGCTAAGATGCTGAACTTAGGGTAACTCTTAACTTCGACCTACAATTCGCTTGAAAAGCCCTTCATCGATAAATTCTTTGTTAGGTTCATTTTTCTGGCAGCACACTTTTGAACGTACCGTCTATCTTCATCCGCTAACTATGGCTAATTGAAGACCGAACACTTGAGTCTTTCGCGACAGTGGATTGATCGGGTCTTCAGTGGGACATACACATTAAGAAGGGTGGATTGTGGTTTCTCCTACGGATGCATTGTTATTCAGGTGTTGGGTCACCTTAGTTTATCTGGGATGCCTCTCGGAGAGGTCTAACATGAGCCTGCGGCTTTTTTTGCTGGACTGGTTACCTTGTTCCAACAATATTCATTCGTCTACACCGAAAAACAGTGGCGAATTATGGGCGGTTGGTTAGTTCACTCTTCTTGATGATCTAAGGTCCAGTCGAAATGCCTTTAGACTAGCTGCTGTTTATGACTATCATCCTGTATAAAAGGTTCAAAAGACTTTGTTTAAAGATCTATAAGCTGTTGTCCTCATTGCCATCTAATTCACATTTTTATGGGTGTTCGCTTCCCTGGTTCACTATCCTTGGAAGAGAGCAGGTCAGAGAAAGCCTGGTCACTTGCAGTGCATAGTATGAGGGATTTCCGCCTCTTCAGATATCCACACTGCACCACACTTACTGACGATCCATCTATAGCGCCGGTTAACCCAACTGTCACTTTTCAGTTTATCAGCCGCTCTCCTTTGTGTCACTACCTATCATTGGCGAAAAATGCAATTCCGGTGGCAGAGTGGATATGGCATCTGGCTTGCAGTCCACAGGTATGCGATTCGATCCTACGTTAGTGCAGGCAATCTCACAATATCTATACGCAGTTATTGCTGACCGTGTAGCAGCGAATCGTTGGTACGACACACCGGCGTACTACTAATATACTTTTATATCAAGGAACATCCGTTGTATTCTTATATTGCTGTTCTATCGCTCAGTTCTTTGACGTGTGAGCGGCTGTTCTCTAAACTCGTTATAAAAAGTGAAGTGCGTCAGAACAGTTTTATTAATTCTATCTTTTTTGTTTGTTGGACAACTATGCAACACTGGGTGCTTGACGGAAATTGCTACAACCAGTTTTATCTAAACGCTACTCCTTGGGTGTGCATTCCGTTACTGATCCGCCATGTTTTCTGTCCGATCTTCGTATTGTTGATATTCGCAATGACCACGACGGTTCCGAGGTACTTTCTTCTTGTGTACTTGTTAGACTTTTCTGTTTGTGTAACTATGCATAGTTTTATTTTTCACATTGGTAGCTGTGTTGTCTTGGTGCAGGAGGCTGATTATCTAGAGTTTCTCCATTTTCAATTCAGGTGCTCGAAGAAGAGAAATGTTGGCGGGAGATTCAGCGCCAACGACGGGAGGAAAAGCTGCTTGTAGAGCGCAAAATGAAAAGGCCTCGTGGTACCTCCGCCATGGATGTGCAACAAGCCCTTGATGCGTACGAGCGCCATCTTCGCTATGAAGCTAAGCGGCGGTTGGAGGAATCTGCTGAAGAGTCTAAATCGGGCGATCTTTGGCACGCACTTGTTCGAAAGCAGGATAAAAGTGAGCGATGGGGTCATGATGGCTGGGAGGAGTTGCAAAAACCAGGTCCACCACCTCCCCTCGGTAATCATTTTGTAAAGGAGACGGTTGCATCAATGTCCCTCGCCTCTAAACCAACAGTACAATTCGTTCGCAAAAATGAGAAGCCACCTGCGTCTTTGCCGCTTTCTGATCCAGTTCAGTCACATGGGAAGGCGTCTAAATCAAGACGAAAGCGAAATCACGAGAAGAAATCAAAATCTAGCAGATGCTGTAAACACAAGACACAATCGAAGACCGCTCCTGAAACCTTACCTTCTGATACCTCGTCATTAAGCACACTTCACTCTGACGAAGAGATTGAGTGGTTGGAACGAAAATAGTCCCCTGTCGTGACTTGCATTTGATCTGTACGCCTTCTCAGGGTTTGTTGTTCACTCTTCCATACTGTGTTGCTGCAGATGAATACCTCGAGTATCTTCCTCTTTGGTGTACTCTCACTCTTTTGTTACATTTCAACCTGGGCTCTCCTGCTCATTCGAACTGCAATTTTCCCTTTCGGATGTATGGTTTTCTTCTTTTTATCATTTCACAAATTTTACGATGCGAATACTTCGAGTTTTTGTTGCCATTGTGTATCAATCCTCACAGTCATGCTTTTAGTCCTAACCTTTGCATACTGCGTAGGTCTGACACTACCTGAGATTCATTCGCTGTGTGACGCAAGTGGTTGGAGTCTCGATGGCGCGCATTTGGGGTTCTATTTCTGGCTTGACTCCTCCTTGTTGCTTTACCCCACTGGTTCATGATTTTTCATCACAATACGACAGCGCTCAACAAGCGTACTGCTCCACTGTATTTCGTTGCGGTAGCTGCGGGATAAGACAGCCTCGTTAGACCTCGATCCAACGAGACAGTCTACTAACACCGCGTTAACACTCGTAAACTATTCCAAATGTTAGTGTATGGGGCTACCATCTTCGATGTCACCGTTATGGATTTGGTATGTATGTATGTAATGACTGGTGCCCCATGCTATGGCTGATGTTGCATTCTTGATGCTTCTTCACCGCAGTTGGGCTAAACCAATTTACACTTAAGCTAGGTCTATTTAAGCTGGATAAATTTCATTCCACTTTATTTGGTTTGTTCTGCCTACCTGAATAATCTTCTATTAACTGGCCACGTTGCTTACGCTAATTGCGCTTATCTTCGGTAACTTAGTTGCGTTTGTAGCATTTTTGAGTAACTTGTGGCTATTTCTTACTTATCGCGGACTCGTTGCTAACCAACTTACTTCATATGGTAATTTAGCGAAGAGTAATGCCACTGTGTCTGTATGCATTATGTGGATTTATTTTATTTCAGCTTGTCGTTTCAAGTGAATGGCTGTTGCTTGATATCCCCGGTGTGGCTGCGCTTGATGTGCATGTTGACAAGGTGCCTACCTGTCTATTACCCACTACCTCGTTCATACTGGCTCCAGGAGACAGTTGGTCGTTGCTGGAGAGGACGGGGTGCACGGTCCTTATGGCCGTGCTAGGCTCAAAGAGCGGTTCCATGCACTCAATGTGGAGCGGACTACGGTCTAGCCACCGCCTTGTGTACGTTTGATTCCCTAAATACAGCGTGCTTGAGTTTGCCTGTGAAGGAGTGTGGGCCGGCTCCGTTGATGAAACGTGGCTCCCATCCACATGCCTCCCGGTCTTATTCCTTTGGGTTTACACTGGGTATGGGGTGTGTGGGTGGTGCAGCGCAAGTCACCCATGGTCCCTCTGTAGGCGCAGGCGTCCTGTGGCTGGCCACAGTGACAGGCAAATCCGAAACCGGATGCCGCCAACCATGTAATGACTGGCAAACTTATTAAGTGACCAGACCAACGTAATGTGCACTGCTGAGTTAACCAACTACATTGTGCACCACCGCCCAGTACTCACGCGAACACAGCATTTTTGCGGATGTGCTGGTGCCGCCGGTACCAAGTAGTTGTTCGCAAGCGACGTCCCAGCATGATCGATTAGCTTTAACGCTCATTTGTATGTTCTCGTCGCATGCTCTACGTTTGGATTCGGTCAAATAGATTCGTTCTTGGTGGAAAACTGGCGCCTATGGGAGAGATGAGCTGGCACACATAGTGTAGCGCAAATAATGCCGGATCCACAAACTCGCATAGTTGAGAATAAAATATTTATTCATTTATTTATTTAGTAAACGCTGCATCGCGTTACCATAGCACATGTAACTTAACAAAAGGTGGAAGATGTCATATGTAATCACTCGGTTAGACCTATCTTCTCTAGCCTCCACTTAGAATGTATCTTCTTGTGAGCTTTTAGGGCTACCGCTTTTATTACTTTCACGGTCAGCGGCTCTCCAAATTTGGATTATCGAATCCCATATTATCGACCGTTTGTCTTTTGACGTACTTTGATCAGAAAATGTAGCACTCGTAGTTCGTGGTCACTGCGCTTCCACGCCAAACCGATGTGGGTATAGCAAGTATTGTGAATACTCACGAATCGGGATCTGACTGAGGTTGTTTGCGAATGTTTCCTTACTAGACTGTACACCATCATTGGAACAACTCCCCTGGAACTTACACATTTATTCTTGTTGGCACCAGTGTGTTACACTCAACCGAAATCAGAACAACAGTATTGGAAATGGAAGTTTAGTAGAAGCAATGGCAATAGTACATCAGCAGTCCACACTGGGTACAGATCAACTGTTTAGTTTTACGCAGTTCACATGTTTTAGCTAAGCACTCGCTTTTGAACCAATCAATAAGCATCGCTGGTTAGCCGGGAGATGGACACTCACGCACTAGCGCGCACAATGCAGCTCCACAGGCTAGGTAGTGTAGCACGACCTTGACGCGGTCAACGTCTGTATCACTTCTCCCACCTTTAGTTGGAGCTATCCAGCTTGGAAACGATCGACCGGTCGGCATCGGCGCTCAGAGCGCCGCAATTGTGACTCATCTTCCGGTTCGGCGTCACGCACGTGCATGTCGTTCGATGCTTGAGCTGACTGCTCTGTCTCGGCAACTGTTTCTGTGTCGGACAATCTCGGTCGCACATGATCTAAATGGCGTCGAACGATCCTGCCATCCTCAGTCTCTGCTTCTATTATCTGTCTTAGTTGTTTTAACGACGGCTGGCTCCCACCCCGAGCCTGTAGGTAAGCGGATGTAGATGGGATCTGAATCTGTCACATGCTTGTCTCTGCTGCAAGTATCACAACGCGCTTTCACTCGTTGTTGTTTTTCCGAAACTTGTGGCTCAATAGATCCATGCAATAAATCCAATCGTGTACGCAGTCGACGACCAAACATTAACTCTGCGGGGCTTCTGCCTGTGGTCTCGGTTGGCATGTTTCGATATGCGAACAAGGAACGATCCAAACGCACACGCAGCGGAGCATTTGGTTGTTTTATTAGCAGCTTCTTCACTGTTTGTACGGCTCTCTCCGCCAACCCATTAGAAGAAGGATGATAGGGTGCAGTTGTTATGTGTTTAATCCCGTTCGAGTTGAGAAAGGTAGAAAACTCAACACTGGCGAATGCTGGTCCATTGTCAGATACTAATGTCTCGGGAAGGCCAAATGTTGCGTACGTCGTGCGTAGTTTCTCTATAGTACTAGCTGAATTTCCTGAAACAAGAATATGGGCATCAACCCATTTAGAATGGGCATCGATGATTAGCAAAATCATCCGACCTTCGTATGGATCGAAATAGTCTACGTGGACTCGTTTCCAGGGTCTTTCTGGCCACTTCCAAGGCTGCATTGGCGCATGAAGAGCGGCGTTTCGGATCTCCTGGCAAGGTCTGCAACTTCCAACCTTCGCCACAATATCACGGTCTAATTCAGGCCACCACATAAAATCGAGCTAACGACTTCGTGTTTGCGACACCTGGATGCGCATCATGTAGTTCGTCAAGGATACGTGACCGAAATCTCTTGGGGACAATAACTCGTACGCCCCACAGCAAGCATCCATTCTGGAGGCTGAGTTCAGACATCCTGTTACGGAAGGGCATGAGTTCTTGGGGGGTGTTGTCCGGCCACCCAACTTGGACATAGCGTTTGACCAACGACAGAACAGAGTCTGTCAGTTTCCTGACGTATGTCTGTACATGTGACTGGGGAATCATTAAAATGCTGGACCAGGTTTACGAGCTCTTGTGGAATAAATTCTTTCGATGTTGTCTCTGGTAAGGGAAGCCGGCTAAGAACATCAGCGGTGTTATTCTGTTTGCCTGGAACGTACTGAATTTCGTATGTATACGCGGAAAGAATAAGCGACCAACGTACCATTCTAGGTGAAGCCATTTACTGAATACCTTTCTTGTGGCCGTGGAGGAAAGCAAGAGGTTTTGATCCGTGTGGATCACGAAAGGTCGCCCGAGTAAATATTGGTGAAATCGAGTGGTGCCGAAGATGACAGCGGCTGCCTCTCGATCAAGTTGTGAGTAGTTCCGTTCTGCTGGTGTCAGGGTTCTTGAAGCATAATCAATGGGACCTTGAGAGCCATTCGGTAATTTGTGCATTAAAACAGCTCCGAGACCGTAAGGTGAGGCGTCACAAGAAAGAACAACAGGCTTCTGCGGATCATAATGCACAAGAACATCTGTAAATGCTAAGAGCTTCTTGACCGCTTTGAATGCATTTTCATGAGTATTGTTCCAATTCCAGCTTTGGTTTTTACGTAGCAGCTGGTGAAGCGGATGCAGATGAGTTGCTGTCGATGGTATAAACCTGGAAAACTGAGTGACAACACCGAGGAACGACCGCAATTCATGAATATTTTTGGGTGCTGGCGCCTCAAGTAGCGCCTTTGTCTTTTCTTCCAGTGGGCACAATCCACGTGACGACCGATAGCCAAGATACTGTACACTCGGAACAAGGTACTCACACTTTTCTCTTTTTAGAACCAAACCGGCATTTGATAATCGCTTCAGGACGACGTCCAATGTATGTAAGTGCTCGGCGGTAGTTCGTCCGATAATTAAAATGTCATCTAAGTACGCACATGTGTTTGGTATATCTTTCACGAGTGAGTCAATAATACGTTGAAAAATAGATGGAGCCGAGCTTATTCCAAAAGGCATGCGTATATAGCGGAATAATCCGAGATGAGTACTGATGGTGGTGTACGTGCGTGATTCCTCATCGAGTTCAATTTGTTGGTAGGCATGACTCAGATCTAGTTTTGTAAATAGATCACCACAAGAAAGGGAAGCGTAAATGTCTTCAATCTCTGGTGGCGGATATCGGTCTAATTCTAACGCTTGGTTTATCGTAACCTTGTAATCCCCGCAGATTCTTATCGTACAATCGCTCTTCAATACTGGCACAATGGGGGCTGCCCAGTCTGAATACTGGACGGGTTCAACGGTACCTTCCAACTGGAGTCGGCGCAGTTCACTTTCGACCTTATCACGGAGGGCATAGGGAACGGTGCGAGCTTTCCAGAACCGCGGTTTTGTCTGTGGTTTCAATACCAGATGTGCACTGTAATTCTTTAAAAGTCCTGATCTCAACTGATCAAATAAGACTGCATGCTTCTGCAAAATCTCGGATAACTGCGGATTGTCTTTCACCAGGTTGACGTTCGACATTATGCCAGGAAGGCGCTTAACTCCATCGCGGCCCATGATGTTCGGACCCGGTCCTCCCGAAACGTACACACACATATAACTTGTTGAATTACGGTAAGAAATGCGTGCATTGAAGGTACCAAGCACATTCACCATCTGTCCCGTGTAAGATCGCAACTGTATGTTCGGTGGACACTGCTTTGGAAGTTGGGATAAGGCGTCTGGTCG